TCACTGTCCTGAAAATATAGGCTGAATAATTCTGCATGGATCAATGCATGTAAGGCTACAGCTTCCACAAGGGAAAAATCCTCCTCCTTGATTTGCCTGCACTTATCTCCTTGCACTGGGAAATATAATTCCCCCTTGTTATTAATGACTTTGCATTTGTTTTCCATGCTTTATCTGAGGTACACACTGGAAAGTGTTATAAATCTGTGTTGTGATATTGGCTTTCGCAAGTATTAAGATGAATATTATATGTTAAATCCTTTTGGGCTATGTATGTACTTTTCCTCTTGCTAACAAGTTTTAAGCTTAAAGGAATTTCGTAGTACAAGGCAAGACAACTCCAACAGGCAAGACAATGGGAGGAGCAAGCTGTTTTCAGCGGAAAGACAGTGGAGACCAGGCTGTTATCAGCAGCAGGAAATAGAGACCAAGCTGTTATCAGCAGCCAGGACCAGGCCGTTGGCAACAGGGGAACGATATGAAGCCCAGCTGCCCTCAGAAGAAGGATGAGAAGCCTGGACTGTTATCAACACTGACCATTTGCAGAAGAAAGGAAACCAAACTTAAAAATAATGATGATCAGCAAAAATGATGATCAGCAAAAATAATGATGATCAACAAAAATAAAAACCATACAGATCATGTTCTAAATAGGCGGAACCAGGGAGGGGACATGCTAAATACTTCTTGAAAAAGTTTGAATATGCATTAAACCCTCCCTCACAGCAGGAGGGGATAAAAAGGATGTTCCCAAGATACCAGATGTGTTCCTGGCAAGGTGCCAGGGCACCTGGCCATTTTAACCCTTTGCTTTATTTCCTTTGTCTCCTAATTGTCTTTTTGTTTATATTAAACTTTTTATAATCTATTAAGTGAATCTTGTTTTTCACAAAAGCTACAATGGAAATGGTTTGAAAATAAAAAACAATGTTCCACCACAAGCTACACAGAACCAAATGTGTGATTGCTTCCTGGACCCTGACAAAGACTCCCTTTTCTGCAGTTTAGTCGTTGTTTGTCATCAGCAATGGCAAATGCCTGCTGGCTGAAAGGTTTGCTGATCACAGGTTATTCAACTTTCCGATTTCCAGAGAACAGTCAAGCAATCCTCTGTAATCCTCTCAGTTAAACAATCTTTGACAGCTTTCCCTTGCAGTGCCCATTTAACTTGCAGAATGCATCTATAGTAGGGGTGCCAAACAATTTCCCTATTTGTAGTATGTATTATCCTGCCAAAGTGAACTACTTTCCTTTCCTGTTTTGTTTGTCTGTTTATCCTGCCAAAGTGAACTACTTTCCTTTCCTGTTTTGTTTGTCTGTTTATTTGAAATGCATTGCACAATCCCTGAGCAATGCAAGTAAAAATGGGGTTATGGAACTACTTTGACATGAGAACAGATGGCATTCTCATCCAATTTTAATGCTTGCTTTTAAAATATTGTTTTCAGTCTTCTGATTGCTGGAAAAGTTACTAAAACAGTTCATTGTATTTTAGTATGTAATCTTTAAGTGCTTTTCATCAGCTAAGATGAACCTTCCATCCACCATCTGCACACTTTACCAAAGCTGATACTTCCGTCAGTCCCAAGTAGTTCCCTAGGTGGTTGAAGGAAGAAGTGAGAGGAAAACGAGTGTTCTCTGTCACCCTCCATCTCAGTTGGTACTTCTACCCTTGGCACCCCTGGGCAAGACTAGGTCTGCAACAATGAATAAGCTATGTTAATTAGAGTTTGGGTAAATTGATCATTCCTGCCTTATTACTGCCTTATTTATTTGTCTGTTTTTTCTTGGTGTTACATCTATATGTGTGTCCATATCTGCATGTGTGTGTTGTATTTATAATATGCATGCACGTATTTTAAACATATGCTTATATAAATCTGTGTATTCGTATTTGTGTCTGTATGTGCATGTCCACATTTATTTATGTATTTAGCTATTTATGCATTTAGCTATACCAGATCAGGCTCCTTAGTGATGTAAAGAACTTTTCTCCCACAGGTTTCCTCATTTTCAGTGGGTAGGTTGCTACAAGTGGAAATTTAAGAATTCCAAAGGCTCTTCAGTGACCTTTAAAAACTGCATGAATAGTCATGGTTGCAAATTTTTGAGTGCTTTGTTGACTCACAACATCATATACCCAGTGTTTAGACACCACTGAGGCTTTGGATGTAGAGGGTGATACATCACAGTCAGAGGATCATCTGGAGAACAACCAGTGGTTTCCTGTGATACGTTTTAAAGCTTACCTGAAACATGTATTCTCACTATTTTTTTTTTGCAGGAGGAAACAAAACAACAACCTCCACTTGTAATTTGTCTTTTCGTTTTCTAGAGAAAAACTAGATTGAAAAGCAGAAGCTAGAATGGGATAAAATGTGTGAAAACAAACAGGTTGGTAAATTATCTGCTGTTTTGTTCTTTGGGTTTTTCCTTTTTCAGTAGTCCCTGTAGAATTTATAATAAAAATAATTATTAGCATTCATTATCAGGTAATAGTACTTAGGTTTTATTAAAATGGACTTGCCATTCAGCACTGTATGGGTATCAAACTTCAGTAGTGACATCAAATGTCATCTCCTGTGTTTGCAAATAGTGGAATAGTACTTTTCACAAACTATGGATTGTTGCAAGCAAAGCTCCATTCATTATTCTGTTGATAATCGTATCAAGTCCTGTTTTAAATGAATTCTTGTCTGTGGGATTAACAGCAGCATGTGTTCACATAACAGAGTATTGTGTATCATCTAGTATGTCTAAAATATTTTTATTCTGGTTTTTTTTTGTTTTTTTGGGTTTTTTTAATTTTAGTGTATACAGTGGTATGTATCAGCAAATGGTATTTTTAGAATGGATTTGGTATATTTGGTATATATTTGGTGTAACTTCTGTAGGTGACCCTGCATTGGAGGTTGGACTAGGTGATTGTTGTAGTGCATCTATTTTAGTGATCCCAAGTTTAATACAGATCCCAAAACACATAGCACCCAGCCACTCGAAAACTGTAAGCAGAGAATGGTAACAGTTAAAAACCCTGTAGAAGAGTGGCTACCAAAATTGCCCAGAGCAGAAAAAGAACCCCAAGAATTAGAGCTATTTGGTTCTGCTCCTGAACCCTTTTGTATCCACCTTATGTATAACACACTGACAGACCCTAAATTGTATCACCACGTAGTACAGTATCGAAACAAATTTAAGGCAAGGCAATGGTGTAGTGTGCGGAATCACGTCACAGCAGATGATCCTCTCTGTTCACATCCAAGAACCCTCCCTAAAAGCATATTTCTGATTTGCGGAGATAGAGCGAGGGCAGGGATCCCATCTTGCCTTCGAGGAGGACCATGTACCTTTGGGAGGCTGTCCCTGTTGGCACCTAACCAAACCCAAATTAAAAAATGGATTCGAAAAGAAAATTCAACCCACAAAATTTACAAAAGGAACACTGACATTTTAGATCCAAATTGTGACTCTGACATTTTTCATTGGGCAAAATCAAAAAGAATTGCTGTATCCATATTTCTTCCATGCATTGCAGCTGCCCAGGCATTAGGTGAATTGGGACAGTTAGAATGCTGGGCAGTGAAACAGGCCAACTTAACATCCACTGCCCTCAGCTCCCTCCTCGAAGATGAAGAAATTACCAGACAAGCTACCCTCCAGAGCAGGGTGGCTATAGATTTTCTTTTGCTTGGACATGAATACCAGGAGTTTGAAGGACTTTGCTGTTTGAACTTGACCTCGAAAGCTCCCAACGTCCATGGAGTCCTCCAAGAGATGAAAAACTTGATTGGACAAGTGAAACAAGAAGCTGAGGACTGGTTTAGTAAGCTGTTCAAAGGCTGGGGACTCACAGGATGGTGGACTTCAATAATCAAAACAATCTTGTTTTTTGTTGTTTTGTTTTTGATTGTGTTAGCATTTGGAATTGTCCGTTGTTTAATTTTAAAGGCCCTTAGTAGTGTAATTTTTACTACCTCAGAAGCTAACCACATGGAACTAGCTGATGGAAACAAACCTAATCGGCCCACCAATCGTGAGTGGTGGGCAAGCTCACGGTAAAAGACAAAATGAGCTAGAGCTTTCTTTCTTTCTCATTTTTGTATAACAGAAAAGGTGAGGTGTTGTAGTGCATCTAAAAATCATGTTATGTCCCAAGGGTAAAACTCACCCTCAATCTGTGTAAAGTTAGTTCCTACCTGAGAACCTTTTCCCTTCCCCCCATCCCATTGGCTGTGACTTCCCTGTGTCCCCCGATCACCCCCGCCCCCTAGTATAAGAGGTAAGACCCAAGGCATTTCGGTCTCTTTCTTGCCCCGGTTGGATGACATACAATAAACCCAGGATTATGCCGTGCAAGTTTGGGCCTCCTGTGTCTAGATACTTTGAGTCCGTGTTGTATCCACTCCAAGACCCCCTCCGCCGCCTGTGTCTCGTGAGGCGCGGGGCTCTCACCACAGGGGGTGGGACAGAGGGGTCCCCTCGAGAGAGGATTACAACAGGTGATGTTCACAGGTCCCTTTCAACCTAAATTATTCTGTGATTTGTGTTTATTTTAATGTAATGCGAGAGCATCCTTTTGGAAAATTGTGCTTTAAACATGACATGAAAGCTAAAAAGCCTACATGGCATTTAAGAAATTATCAGCCTAATATTGAAAAGATGGCTATTATTTAAATAGTTATTTTTAAAAATTAAATACTTTAAACGAGGATGTTTACACTGCTCTCTCCTTTGGCTGTGGCAGTCCCAGGTTCCCCCCCTCGAGCAGACAAGTGGTGGCACCGTCCCCTAGGGTGGGAATGTTGGTCCTGTTTCTGCGGGGCGGCAGCAGAAGCCGTGCGGAGTAGGACACGGCTGTGCTGCAGTGCCTTTCCCTGCCCCTGCTCACCTGGCTGCTCTCGGAACGTCCCCTCGCTCTGCCCATCGCGTCCGCTGTGCTCTCTGACGTCAGGATGCGATGGCCGTGACCGCCCGGCCGGATGCTGCTTGGCCTTCACCGACAGCGGGGGAACAACGCCGGGCTGCTGCCATTGCTGCTTGTCCTGCTGGCTGCTGCTCCTCATCCTGCTGCTGCCGATCCTGATGCTGCTGCAGATCCTGATCCTGCCGCTGCCGCTGCTGCTGTTATTGCAACTGCGGCTGCTTCTGCTGCGGCAACTCTGGCGTGCGGCTGCAGTCCATCGTCTGGAACAGCCAACACGAAGTTATCCAGCCTGGCCACAGCCAAAGGAATGCGGCAAGAGTCCCCGAGGTCACCGCAGCGAGGCTGAGCGTGGAATAACAAGCCAAATCCGCTGGGGATTTACAATGCAAGCAACCTTTCGAGGTTTCTTTTCCGCTTTGCTCCCACCCTGCTGTTGGATTTGAGATCATGTATGTGTTCTGCTGTTGATTACAGGAGGGTGTTAAAATCTAGGGAGGGAAGAGGATTCAGAAAGATTAATATTTTAGTTTTGATTTAAGGGGATTTTATTTTCTTTCCCTTTATTCACGCCCTTCATTTTTGTTAACACAACTTCATCTTTATTATTTTTCTTTTAGGTCGGTTAATATTGTAGCTTTTGGCAATGAAAGAGATGGTTTTTCTGAGGACAGTCAGCAGCCCAGCCTGATCTGGAGCTATCTCGGGAGAAGTGCTCTCATTTCTCAGATCGACAGCAGCTTCTCTGCCAGTCAAGTTGGGAACCCAGTTTTTGCTGAGTATCAAGCTTGCGTATTTGGAAATGTCAGACTGGTGGTATACGACTGTGCTGTCTGGGTAAGAGATCCATCTCAGTCTTTTTAACAGCACTTAACAGTGTGAGCTGTTCTAGTAAAATGAAAACATATCCTAATTTTAAAAGGTTTTCATTGTTGTGGGATTTTATTAGTAGTTCTATTTTTGAATATAGTAAAAACTTATAAAATGTAACCAGGCAAATGCTGGGAAGTCTCAAAGGTGCTACAAAAAGGTTCGTATAAACAAGCCCCTGCTGGCCTCCCCTGTAAGAAGATGTTAATTTCAACTGCGTTGCTTAGTGGAAATTTTGTGAAAGATAATCCAGAGGTAGACAAGAATGCCTTCTTTGTGACACTGCATCATAAGCTCTGTCTCCAAATAAGTGTCAACTATAAAACGAAATTTTATTTTTCTGTAAAAAAAAAAAGGCAGTAAGTTTTCCAGCTGTGAAAAATGACAGATTAAAAGATCTGATAACTTGCAAAATACAATGTAGGGAGTATTTTTACTCCTTCTAGAAAGAAAAATCACATCTTAACATTATTATCTTTATCTGATGTAAATAACAAAAATTTTGGCACTGTTGCAAGTTGTCAGCACTTTTGTTAGTAAGTGAGAAAACTTACTTTTGAGTGTGAGCAGATCAATGATTATGCAAGAAATGATACTGATAATCTAAATTAAAACATTAATGACTACTTACTAGTTTTAAAAAGAACCCTCAACTTACTAGCTTTTAGAAATTAAAACAATAATCAGTGTCAGCTCCACAATTCTATTATTTTTGGTGATTTTTGTACTCCTGTAAGGGAAACTTTTTGGAGAATCTGCAGGAACCAAAACAGCTCCATGAAGTAAGTGACCAGAAGATGACAATCTTAAAACTAAACAATCCAGTTTAGCCGTCCTTCTGTTCTTTATTTCTTTTTGCCAGTTGCGCTTACAGACACCAGTTCAGATGGACTGGGGGATCCTGTTTCTAGTCTGTGAAGCTGCATGTGACCTACACGTGCAGCTTACTGGAGTCACAGAAGTGCAGCAAAGAGTAAAATCTCCTGAATATAAATGAAGTCTGTGGGACTCCAAAGGCTGTTTCAGAGGGATGGAGAATGGTAGGAGATGTGGGAAGGCTAGTGAGGGTAGCTGGAGAAGGGGAATGAAGGACATGAATTTGAGACAGAGTTGATGTGGTTTTATGTTGCTGTAGTTGTATTTAGCCTTCTGCAAAACAAAGTTGTTCAGTTCTGGAGACCTTATAATTTCTGCCATTCAAAAGCTAGTCTGAGCCATTGCATTTCTGAAGCCTCAAGTTTTTTTCCCTCCATCAGTTAAAGGAAGCAGGAGATACATTACTAAGAATGTTGAAGACAAATTAGCATTTTTTTCTTCATAGAAGACATTACAGTTAGCAGGACTGGACTCTGCAGGAGGTTATTTGTCATGCATAAAGCAGTGTCCTTGCTAGGGTAAGGTAGGACAGGACTATTTTCCACAGTCTGGGTGCTTGAGGTTTACTATGTCACAGTGGCTCATTTATGGCTGTGCCTCTGCTAGCCTGCAGAAACAGCACAGAACAATTCAAAATGTTGACAGATGTTGCCTCAAGTTATATTCTGCATGGAAAAGGATCCCTGTCTCATGTTACCACACAGAGGTTATGGTATGGTGAGCCTTGCAGTATTTCAGCCTCTACCATCTGAGCCCAAGGCATATTTGTGTTTTACATGGGATTTGTACCTCATCTAGATGAAACCCATATGATTAAGGCAAGACAGTCCTGAACATGAACATGGCAACTGAGTACACCGATAATCGTGAGTCTCAAAATTCAAGGGTGCCCAGCTGCTCTTTGTCGTCCACAGCAATCTGATTGCAAAAGCAGTGTTGAATAAATAGAGCTCCACAGTGAGTGGAGGGATCCTTTTGCATGGCAGATTGTGCAGTTTAATTTTCCTGAGTTTCAGTCTGCTGCTGCACCTGTCTGTCAGCCCAGGACATTGCTCAGCCTTTTGAGTCTGCAGGAGGGTCAGCAGGTCAACAAAAATGAATTCATGTTTGCCAATGTGCAAACTTGCAATTTGTGAGGAGCTATCCTTCCCCTGGCAGTTGCAGGGTGCAAGATGGAAATGCTGATTTTGGGTCCCCTTATAATTCACGCAAAACAAGAAGGCTTTAGAGACATAGTGGAACACTACACTTTTCAAGATCTGGGAAAAAAATGTCAGAGTTTCCAAGGACAGGTTGCTATTTGTGTGCCACTGTCTGGGTGTACCACTGTGGCTTGCTGTGTGTGGCACTGCTTGGGCAGAGTTGTGTGCTGTATGCAGGGGACATGCACAATACACCCACATCCTTATAAATCATGTGGCTTCTAAATATTTTCTCAAAAAATGCAAACCTAGGATAAGAGAAGGCATAAAGAATTAGGGAAAATACACATGTGCTAACACCTCTCCTGAATATTGTGATTTTTATAGCTGATCAGTTTCTAATGCATCCTTAAGCTGCTCTATAATAAGGCATATTGAATAAGAATGTGTCAGTTTTTCTAATTTTGGAGGGGTAAAATTCTGTGTGGAGCTAGTAACTCATAAAGAATAATTTGCAAGATGAATTTTAAGATTTGCTTTGGAAAAGACTGCTTTAATTAAACTCTGTGTTGGATTTGACAGTCTGAGATGCCATTTTTTTGACTTGCATGTATTTTGCAATTCCACTTCACTCAGAATTTTTTCATGCTTCTGCAGAAAAAATGCAGGCAGAATTTTTAATATCTAATGGCAAGTGGATCTTCCTCAAGTACAGAATTAAGCATAGCACAGAAGCTGTAATTCATGTTTTGATTCATTTCATTGCAGTGCTGGACAATAAATGGCAAAATAAAAAGTAATAAAAAGTCCTTTGTAAGTGTTCCGTACTTGAAGTAACTCTTGTTCTCCCCTCTCTTACTTGGAGCAATAACCTGAGGATGTGAGAGTGTTTCTGTCCAGGCCTGAGGGGTCTTGCTGCTTTTTTAAAATTCTTTTACTAAGAGCCACCTGGTTTTGGTTGTTTGGGTTTTTTTGTGGCTTTTTTTTTGTTTGTTTGGGTTTACTTTTCCTCATGGGAAACAAAATCCCAACATTTTTTTTGCTCTCACCTTTTTTATAAGAACTGCTCAGTTTGTAGAGAATTATTCATATCATCAAGTAAAAAAATGTTACAAAAGGGAAAGATAGAGCAGCTGGGTTTTGGAGATTGCCTTGTGCAGGATTAGATACTTGCAGAGGCATGAATGCTCCACTGTGTCTGCTCAGAGCCTTGCACAGAGTTGCAGACCTCCATGGGGCTCACGAGTACAAAAATATATTAACTGCAACTTAAATATATTGACTACAATTTTGAGAAGTTGTTCTGTGATTTTTTTCTAATTCTCCCTTACAACAATTTCATTCCCTGAGTTTTTTTGTATTTTTTCTTAGTTATTTACTGCACAAACAGGAGTAGTCCCTCAAGCTTTCTTATGCAAACAGTATTATCCATAGTGTAGTTCTCTGGCTTTTTCCTCTTTATCAAAATTCTTGTGCTCTTGTGCTGCCAAGGCTGGCCAGCCCTTATCATGTCTAAAGATAAAGGAATCTGAACCACCTTTAGATTTTATTTACCATTTTTAGAAATCTAGACATATTGCTGTTTCAGTAAAAAATGACAGCTTGTAACTTCATTTTTCATTATGCCATCCCTTCTCGTTTTTAAGCTGGAATGCCTGAAGTGGAAATTTACAACAATAAATGTTGTAAATATGTTATTATTATATCCTGGTAAAAAATACTATTAAATTAAGTTCTGAGAGGATGGCACAGCCAATATGACCTTTCTTTGTTTTGTGGGGGGGATGTTTAGGGGGATTTCTAAAGGAGATCCTTCCATCTGTACTGCAGATTACTTACCTGAGTAAGTTCAGGGGACTAGTAAATTATGCAGAGTACACCCATAAAATTTGCTGCAGACCTGATAAGAAATTGCAGAGGAATCTCAAAAAAAAAAGCAGGGAAGGCTCTGGTATGTGGTGTAGAGAACATCAGCTTGAAGAAGGTTTTGGTAGTGGAGACCAGGTCTGTAAATGGATCATAGAGAGGGATAACTCTCCAATATTCCAAATGCAGTGCTCTTGGATTTTGGGGAAATCCCAGGGCAACATTCCTACAGGATGTCCTGGCACCCTCTTCCCCACAAAGAGTGGCTGGCATTGCTGCCTCAGATCCAGGGCTGGGCTGGTTGGACATGGGGACACTTATGAGCAACTTCCAGAAAGAGCATGGGCATTGCAAGAGCATTTGTGTGAAGAATTTCACTGCCATTGAGAAAGGCATTCATAAATCATTTTTAACAAAGCAAGTATTGTTGTCTTGTGGGGTCATGTGATTTTCTAGGAAAATCATATCTTCAATGCCTCTGAAAGCTTTATTTTCAATATTGACTATTGAGAAGTATAATTTACTAATGGCAAGAATATGTTACGAGACACTTAGAATGAAGGCATACAAGGAAAGAATGAAGATGTCCTGAGCTACACATCATCAGAAGTATAATTAATAAGGTCATGTTAAAATAACCTTAGCTGTGCAGATACTTCTTCCCTTTACCAACCGTTGACTTGTGAAATGGAGCAGCAAGTATGATTAGGAGTAGCTGTTCAAAAATTTCATAGATGGAACCTGAAATTAAGGTTATTCCTGAATCTGAACAGCTGTTCATCATCTGAAGAAATTACCTCTGTCATTTTTGCATGAAAGGTTCTCTAAAAGCAATAATGAAGGAGGCTCTAGATGCTGCCTCAGGGATGTCTTGTGCAAATAACCCATTGTCGAAGACACTTCTGGAGGATTTTCCTGGCACATGAGATTTAGCTCTGTTGTACACTGGAGTGAGTGAAAAACAATATACAAACATATCACAAAATTAATATACAAATACGCTATTAAATTCCATAAGAATTTTCCATAAGTATTTTTTATTGTTCATGCTTAAAGCTGTGCACCTGTGCTCTACACTTTGATTATGTTACCACCATTGTCTCCAGTCTTGTAGAGATGGGCAGGTGCAATTCTGGGTTGATCTTGAAGACAGTCAGCTGGGCAGAAATTGCAAAGTAGCAGATGTACTGTCTGCCAACAGAACAGAACAGATAAATATTCCATGTTATTTTTGGGCTTGTATTATATTTTTCCTTTATACTTTTGTTGTGTTAAATATACCTCTATTAAAAATTCTCCACTGAGATCTTCATCAACTAAAGTGTACAAAAGCTGTCCCTTGAAAATTCTCAATTTTTGCCTGCTTGTGTGATCAAGTTCTCCAAATATCCATCTAGATGGCTGTTTCGAAGCACTGCAGCTGGTAGTCTTACTGCTAGATGTGCTAAATGTGCATTTAGGTGTAAATGTTATATTATTAATTGGCCCTAAAGGATTGTATTAAGTGCTAATTGAGACTGTCCTTAGTTTGGGATTAGAATAGCCTCTAAGTGAGTTGTTTCAAAAAAAAAAAACAAATATCTAGAACAGTACATTTGACCTCCTCTCTTTTTCTCAACATGGTTAATCACGTAAGAGCTATTCCTGGTAAATTGTTCATTGTGGTTTACTTATTGCAGAACAAAAGCTTCTATTACAGAAGAAAGTAGTGTTCAATGGGAACACCTACTATAATTTATTTCCTGACTTATTTCTTTGTAAGGTCAAGACCTATATTGGGAATGATGTGCACTGACAGTTTAGGCAAATACTTGCTGATTTTGACTTCCATCAAGGTCATGCTACTTCTTGTAGTTAAGAGCATTGCAGACCAGATTTGAAACAATAACCCTTTTGAAGTGATCAAAAATAGTTATGTTTACAATGTAACCACACCACTTGTTGATATTACTAATTTTTTATGTACTTGACTCCCATTTGTGATATTCTTATTTCTGAGACTTGCTCTTCCAAACTCACTTTCATCCCTCCCAGCCCAAACTTTGAGTTCTGCCTGTTTGTCACTTCTGCTGTGCTCATTTATTCCTGTTTTCACATTGTCTTTATTTCATTACTGCTAATTTCCCTTTTTTTCCCTCAGGATCCCAAGTTCTTCTAGTTTTGCATCATGCTGTGCAGGGCTGCCATAGAATCACAGAACCCCTGAATGATTTGGATTGGAAGGAACCTTGGAGATCATCTCATTCCAATTCCCCTGCCATGGGGGGGTTGCTCAAACATGTGCTTGAGAATTGTTTTTTCTTTCCTGCCATGGCAGAAACACCTTCCACTAGACCAGATTGATCAGAGTCTCATCCAACTTGGCCCTAAACACTTCCAGGGATGGGTCACCCTCAGCTTCTTAGGGCAAACTGTGCCAGGGCCTCACCGTTCTCTGTGTAAAAATTGTCTGCCTTATATCCAGCCTAAATCTACCCTCTTTTATTTGAAACCATTGTCCCTTGTCCTATTACAACAAGCCCTGCCAAAGAGTTTGTTCCCATCTTTCTTATAAGTCCCTTTTAAGTACATAAAGGGCTAAAAAAGTCTCTATTCTAAGAGATTGTCCTGGGGTGATTTTATGATGCTTGTATCTCCAGTCACCTTGTTTATGTTACACATTAAGTTCTGCACCTCTAAGACTGGCTCTGAGAGTGAAGAGGGTGAAGAAGAAGCCACAGTTTGTGTTCAGAAAGAGCCCTCACTCCCCCACATCCTACTCGTGGACTGTGTTGTCTGCAGCATGTACAGACAGCGGGACAGAGCTCTCCTTTGCTGTTAGTTTTTAGCTAGCTGAGGCAGAGAAGTTCCCTGGACTGTTTTTTTCCCTTTTTCTTGGATCTGTTCAAACCTGCTCCAGACTGAAAACCCAGACAAATCCCTGGAGCTCACACCTGTGGCCCACTGGGGCCTGGGCCTCGGCACTTTCCAGCGCCGGAGGGACTGATAAGAGAATGAGCGAGCTGAGCTACACCACATGAAAAGAACTTTTCTGGATTTGCTATCTCATCAAACAGAGAGGTTTTATTGTTTAATATTATTCAGTTTTTGTTAAATAAACGGGTTTTTTCCACTTTTCTCCAAGGAAATCTTTTTCTTGAACCAGCTGGGGGAGGGGCCACTAGAATTTGCTTTCTGGAGGGACCCCATTTGTTGGTTCTCTCCCAAATTTGCCCTAAACCAGGACAGAGGTGATAGTAGTTAGGGTTATCAGAGCTTTTTTCCAGTTCTCTGGACCAGTTCCAGACTTTTCTCAAGTTTTCAATTCAGCATACATTCAAAGCCAAGGTTTCCCCTGGTATTTATGAGATACCTCCAGGCAAAACAGAAATTGTGCAGAAATACAGTTCAATGAAAAATACACAAGTAATAACTGTATACTGCATGTGGATACAGCACAGCTGTAAATTAACAAAATATCAAACAATTTTAAAGGTTAAGTCCTCAGCACAGAGCAATGAAAATTTGAATGTGAAGTTGAAAAAGAAGGTTTATCTATGCGATTCAAGTCCTTATCCTGAAGATATTATAACCTGGTAAAGTTATGTGGAAGCTCTTGTGAGGCAGATAAAAATCACACTGAATTATTAAGTTTGTATTTAAAAGTTCATAGATACATAGGACAGTTTTGTGTAACCATTTCCCTAAAATGGTGTGATTAATAATGTTTTTGTATGAATTGCTGAAAACCTCTACCACTGAAGGTGCTTTTATTTTCTAAAGGAAACTATTTTAAAGTTAAGTAATTAAATCAGCAAAGTTTCTTCCTGAAAAGAATATTCCCTGATAAATCCTATTTTTAATTCTTCTGGAAGAATCCCTGAATTCATGGAAAATATTTATGATTTATTACAACAAACAACTGCTCTCCAAACAAGGAAATTACAAAGCAGGAAGTCTGCTCATTGTTGCATGTTTTCAAATAAGATCTAAGCAAACAAAAACACTTATGTAAAGTTTTGCATTAAGAATATAGAATATTTTATCTTTTTCTTTATAGACAGTAAATTCTTGATTAGTTTTTTTTTTTTTCTTTTTAGGATATATTTGACAGTGACTGGTACACTTCCTGCAGGCTCATTGGAGGAGCTGATATTATTGTGATTAAATACTCTGTCAATGACAAGACTTCATTTCAAGAACTAAAGGACAACTATGTGCCAACAGTAAAAAAAGCACTAAGTCACTGCTCAGTTCCAGTAATAATTTCTGCTATTGGTGCAAGAAAAAATGGTATGTAACCAGCCTCCTGTAATGACAGATAAAATCTCAAATGGAAGTTTGGTATAGTGTGATTTCAGTAGAAGCTTGATGTTTTTCCATGCTGCAAACAGAAACAATTAGTCTGTCAGGATGACAAAAATATGCACATGTATTTGGGCTCTCTAGGCTGATGTACTGGCAAGAACATTGTTTTAATTAACCCCAGTGATGAAAGGCAATTTATCCTTCTTTGACCTCTGCAATGACTCTTCTTGTCATCATACATGGGGATTAAATCCAGTAATTTGGATTAAGCAACATATATTTGGGTATAAAGTATCTCTAGTGTATGAGATTACAATTACATCCAACAGTCTGAAAACACTGGAGAGTGGGTGTGAAAAGACTTGAAATTCTCTGGGACTTTTTTCCTAGGACAATGAATGAAAAACACAACCCTGACTTGTCTTTTACTTCATGACACTTAACTGTAACAAGTGTTTCTGAGCATCCCTCCTTTTAATGAGTAATGATGGGTGTAGATGTAAACATTTATTTTGTAATGTACATGGAAATATTAATCCATATGAAGTATATCCTCTATGGATAGAATGCTCAGTATTGCCAAGGTTCTACTTATAAATCTCTTAGCTCAGTGACTGATAAAGGACAGTTAAAGACCTCCATAACACTTGAATATTTATTTTCTTTCATTTAGTAATTCACTGATCATGACCAAAAGCTTTTATGCTGTGACTTATACAGGATTAATAAATCTACCATTCTAAAGGCAAGATCTTGGTAATTTGTCTTGCCCAAGCATTTTCTTACACTTTGTATTTAAGAAAAGGATATCACCAAACTGAGTGACTCCTCTAGTGTTTTGGTTTTTTTCTCTTTTCCACTTATTTTTTTTTCTGTTTTCCTCCCTAAATAATGTGTCTATGGGAGACATCAGGCTGGACCTCTGGGTTTAGACCTGTCAGAGCAAACTGCAGTTCACACATACGCTGTTAGTTTTTAGCTTGCTGAGGCAGAGACCTTTTTGTTTCTAGGTGGTATTTGTGAGCACAGCAGTTTGCTTATACAGATTACTATGATCTCAATCCTCTGTAGTGCTAGATGTTGCTGCCAAAACAAATTATTAAAAAAACCCAGAAAAGCTGTTTAGTTACATTATCCATAGGTCTAGGCAGAGGACATTAACATGGAGCATGCACAGAACATTTAAAAGCACATCCATGGCTGGCAGGTTCTTACTGTTAATAAGCAAAGCTGACCCAGTGTGGCTAAAAGATTTTAAACTTTTAAATGGCATAATATTAAAGTACCTATTTTTTTAAAAAAATATATCTAAAATACATGTAAATGAATCAGATCCTGCAGTAAGTACAACCTATCAAAGGTTGGTTTGGAGTAGAAATTTTCTTCTTTCATTACTGTGTATGCTTCCATTACCTGTATGGACTGGCCACAATAATTCAACAGGTTTAAGGGTGACATTCATAAATGATAACACTTGCAGGCTAGAACCTGGGCAAGCAAAGATATTGAGCCAAAGCCGAATCTGGCATCCAGAAACCTGGATGGACTTTTCCACCTTATCAAAACCAATAAAGTAATGCTAATGTAATGTATGCAGACATTTGTAGAGTGACTAGTATTTTGAATTGATTAATAAGAAGTTGGGTTTCTTTTGTAATTACAGATTTCTTACAATAAAATTGCTATGTGTTTATTTCCCTCTTTGTTCTCCTCTAAGTAAGGCATCTTTAAAACTATTTAGGAAGCTAAGAATTCTGCATTATTTGGTCAAAATGTTTTTTTTACATCACTTTTTACCCCAGGAGTGCCTTGCACCTGTCCCCTGTGCACTTCAGACAGGAGGAGCTGTGTCACAACCTCTGAAGGAGTTCAGCTTGCTAAGGAACTTGGAGCCACTTACCTTGAACTGCACACTCTTAATGACTTCTACGTACAGAAATACTTTGGAGGAGTGGTGAGCAAGTATCTGCTGTTTTGGAAGCAGGATGGAACATGTAGGAGATTCATGACTGATGTGAAGGCTTCAGAGAGCTAGAGGAGGCACACTATGGGCCCTTCCACCAAGTGTCAAGTTGCCACCAATGTATGATTCAAGTTAGATATTAGAAAGAAATTCTTCATTGTGAGGGTGGTAAGACACTGGAACAGAATGGTCAGGAAAGCTGTGAGCGCCCCATCCTTGGTAGTCTTCTTGGCTGGGTTGGATGGGGCTTGGAGCACCTGGTCTAGTGGAAAGTATCCCTGCCCATGGCAGGGGGATTGGAATTCAGTGGCCAAGGTACTTTCCAAACCAAACCATTCTAGGGTTCTATGATACTATCAGAATTAGCAGTACCAAGGTTGCTCTGGTTTTAAGCTGGAAGATTTAGGGAAGCCATCTGACAAACTGCAGTAAGTGTTCCACTTGTATTCTTGTCCTTTTATCTTGCTGAATGAGACCCCAAGATCCAATTAGCATCTAAAGAGGTTGATAAATTGAATATCCTTATGTCTGTCAATTCTAGGAAGATTAAATATACAAGAATTAACCACATTCATTTGAATAAATAGTCTTTTAAATTGTGCTAGTTTTATCTAAATATGGGAGCTTCTCATAAAGGAGTTTTGGGACTCTTGGATGACTGGTAATAGTGTCAGTAACTTTAGTCCTGCATACAGAACCTTTCATACCCCCTTAATTTGATGCCTAGGTTGTTATTAAATAACAAGTTTTTTTTAAAAAATATGTTTCTTGTCTTAGCTGGAATATTTTATGATCCAAAGTTTGAATCAGAAGTCATCCAAAAAAATGAAGGAAAGGAAAAAGATGCTGAAGTGCCATCGAGTCCAACCACCTCAACTTGAACAGCCAGGTGCTCATTGATATCTGGTCACTAGTATAATTCCTTATGTGTGTCATTTTCTTTGCACAATTAATATTTTTTGCTACATTTTTTACTAACAATTTTTACTGTGAGCTGTGCTATCTACTGTCAGCTCTTCTGGTTATGTTGCATCGTCATTTAGCAACGGTTAAATTTACTTGGGGAAAATTGTATGGCAATAAATAACAGTGCAATGGATTTCTAGTTTATTTTAGATATAACTAATAGGAGTGATTTTCTGGTGGACTGATGAAATAATGAAAACATGAAAAAAGCTTTATATAAAATCTTAACAGAGAGATTACAAAAGAAAGTTGTTAGAGCATGAATTGTTATTCTACAGTATCATCAAGTAATGTTTTTGTTTTCTGCAGATAAAGCAAGGGAGAGAAGTACACACCTCATGATTTCTGAGCATCTGATGCATTTGTTCAGTGAAAAAATTACTGAGAAGTAGTTACCTCTAAATCTGTAGTTGTGTCTTCTTCCTCTTCTTAGAACACTCTTCTTAATGTTCTAAGAATTTGCTCAGAAGACCTCTTCTTAGATTTGGAATACATAGTCAAAGTCTCTTTATAGTGTAACTTTCTATAGAGGGTTCATGAAAGGACAGACACTTACTATTAAACTAAGAATTTCTTAATTTACTGTACTAAGTATTTCCATTTTTAGAGTATTTTACTCAAGATATTAAAACAGTATGTAAGAAATATTCTTATTGAATATGTCTTCTGAAAATTAAACTGACCTGATAAAGTCAGTTGCCCTGTAGTTAGCACTTGCCTAAGTTACAGCCTGACTTGTTTTGCAGAAAAGATGCCGATCCTGAAGGGTGAAACCTCACACTACAACGCAGACCTGCACAACCTGCTCTGCTGCTGCCAGTGTGTAGATGTGGCCTTCTACCCTGAGGACCTCAGCATAGCAGTGGAGGCTCACAAGATCATCCTCTGCTCTGTCAGCCACCTCTTCATGCTGCTGTTTGGAGTGAAGAGCCCATCCGATGCCCATGACACCTCCCTTGTGCAGCTGGCACAGAGTCTCTTTGCAGTGGAGGAGGGGGATCCCTTACCCTCGTATCCCCATGGTGTCCCACCCTGTGCCCCACCAGTCAGGGTGGTGGTGAAAGATTCTCTCTTCTGCTCTTGTCTCCCAGATATCCTCCACTTCATTTATTCAGGTACCTGCTGGTATCTCATTCAATTCATATCAGATCTGGCTGCTCATTTCCTATTGTCTGATGAAGGAATATGTGCATCACCCTAAGGAATGTGGCTTTGCTGTTGTGAGATGATGTCTCACCATCTTTCCACACCTATTTTATCCCTTGTGATTACTACGCACAGTGAAAAAAGGTCATCATCTGTATTTAGCAAAAACTAAATTAGTTTGCATTCCAGACTTAATGGACCTAAATTAAATTAGTCCATAAGCTAACATTAATAACATGCAAAATTTTCCCCCAAAAGATTTGGAGTTTGAGTAAGTTTCAGATCCTAGGTTTTTAAAATATTGTAAATGGTTGCTTGTTCTAAACACAAGGGCAAGAGTGCAGTTACTTAAGAAAACTCTAGTAATTTTATTCTGAGTATGGTGCAGTGCTCTAATTTCTAATGTCCCCTGCCTCGCTGTTACCACTGTCCACCCCGCAGCAGCCAGGGAGACAGGGGAGATAGAATTAGCTTGTCAAAGAAGAGCCTAAAAACGAGCTCTTTCCCTTTGCTGAGATGGCAGTTACAGCTTTATTTCTTGGGATCCTTCGGGGTGAGGTTACAAGAGGGAAAGAAGAAGAGGTATCAATAAGCACTCCTTTTTGAAGACAGGGGGAAAGGGGTGGGGGAATTCACACAACCAATAAGGGGAACTGGGGAGAACAAGATAAGGGAAATAAACTTACAATTCTACATTTTTGGGTGTACATTTTTTGGGTCATACCATTTTTCCTAACTGCATTACAACAGTGCAGCTGAAGAGAAAACAGTGATAAGTGGAGTGTGGAGATCTCTGAGGTGTTGCATGAGTTTTGCTACCAGTTGGTACAGACTGTACCTCAGCTGACACCAACTATCTAATGCCAGCTATTAAAATGGCACTGATACTTTTTTAACTTTTCAGATGTTGCTTAGAAATTCTCAGCAGAAAGATTTGGGGTCTTTTTGTGGAAGTAGCCAATTCCTATTTGTTCTTTATAAAATATTTTTCAACCGTCAGAGAATCTTTCAGCTTTCAGTTGGAGTTTGTACATCAAAGGCAGTTCTTTCCAAAATAGGGACAAACATAAAGAGCAGATGAAGTTTTTCACTGAAAAAAATCACTGAATGGATTTTTTTTTCTTATTTATTGGAGACAAGAATAGGGGATTAAAACTGGATTTTCATCAGGTGATGGAAAAATTCAGTATTTTTAATTCGTATAATAATTTAGTAATTTGGGTTGAAAAATACCTTTAAGATTATCAAATCCAAGCACTAACCCATCACTGCCAAGCCCATCACTTAAACTGTCCCCAAGTACCATATCTTTGAAGTGCCTCCAGGGATGGTGATCCCACCACTGCCTTGGGCACCTTGTTCCAGTGCTTGACAACCCTTTAGGCAAAGAAATTTTCCTGATACTGAATCTAAACCTCCTCTGGTGCAACTTGAGGCTGTTTCCTCTTGTTCTGTCATTTATTGCCTGGGAGAAGAGACTGTCTCCAAACTGGCTACAACTTTCTTGGCAGTTGAAGAGGGAGGCAAGTTCACCCCTGAGCCTCCTTTCTTGCAGTCTTTGTAAACATCTTCATCTGTTACCATCTACAGCTTATGTCTACTGCCTTGTGTGCACTAATTTTCCTTTTTTACTTTCCTTTATGTCAGCCAAGGAGCTGTGAAACTCTGTAGCTGCAGGCAGAGCTCTGCTTAGGTCCCAGCTGAGGCTCCTAGCCTGAGGGTCATTGCAAAACTCATTGTGCCTTCTGGTGCCTCTGAGAGGTGACCATTGTCTCTTGAAGGTGCTGGAGGTACAGGCTGAGAAGAGAACAAATTATAAGTTTTCAGCTTTTCAGGACTGTGACACAATGCCCATGAGGTTATAAATGCTTAGCCAGTGTGATATAGATGGAAGCTAATTGAGCTGAGGATGCTGTGTGCTGTAGGTGCTGATTCAGCCTCTCAACAGCAGAGAATCTCCGGGGCTGTGTTGAGTTGGGCTTGTCACTGAGCTTGATCTATCTTTGTCTCCTTCTTGTCCTGGGTTAGAACTGAAAGTTACCACAAAGCCCTGTGGTGCCTCTGAGACTGCAGCAAAGTGCATGAAGATAAACTGTCTTGTATTTACTCTCTTATTTTTTCCAAGAAAACTCTTGAGACACATCAGTGAAGTCATGGGTGCAAAAACAATAATAACAGAATTTTACAGAGAAAACAAGAATAACAGAAATTCTATTGCAAATTTTGTGCTGGTTTTAGCTATGAGGACTGGATGAGAATGTAACTGTGCATGAAGTTTTTGTAGTTCAGACATCTACTGAACAATGCAGCCAGCAGCATGGGCATAAGCTAAAAATTTTCCAGACATGTTGAAGCATTAAGGATTTTTTTTTTTTTTATATAATCTCTGCCTGTATTATGTAGTGACTGAACAGGGAGGAATTCATAGATTGAGTGTGAAAGCAAGTGAGATTCTCTAGTCTATCGGTACTTGGTTGCACCATAAAAACTACAATGAAAATTTAATGTGCAAAAATTGTATCTTGCCCTTCTTAAAAGCAAAGATCTGGCTGATTTATGTACAAACTCCCTACCATTTCTGCAGGATGTGTTTTGTGTTGATGTCATCTTTCCTCTGCATGCTGAGGCCTGTGCCTTGCTGATTTATAATCCATCTCCCCTGGTTTTGTGATAGGTGCTTTCCAGTGGGAAAGATTGGAAGAGGACATAAAAAAGAAGTTGAAAGATCCAGATAAAACAGAACATGTGCTTGAGAAAGTTAAATGCATCCTGAAAACTCCAGGGAAGGTACATCTATCTCACTTGGGTCACCATTAATTACTTAAGTTTCTGAGAAATTGCTTTGTAGGCAAAGTTTTCTAGTCAGTCTTTCTTTTAAAGTCATTTTGGCTTACACAGCCTGCACTTTTTCATGTTTTTAGTTTGTAGACATGTACACAGAGATTGGATGTAACATGCAGAATTAATGTAATTGGTAAAAATCACATAAGCAGGTATTCTAAAAGGATTACTCATATTCACAGCTTTGAACATTGTCTGGCAATATGATTATGGATTGCTAATTCCCATGTAATAGAGGCTGCCCAGGAAAGATTTGTTCCTGAACATATGGCAAAAGCAGGGCTTCTGCAGTAGATCCAGAGGGTTGGATTTCTCCTAGAAATGTTGTGATGTGGAAAGTTGTCTGGAACTCAATATATTTAATTAAGTAAAACACCGAATAAAAAAATGTAATGTATATCATATTATTAAGTTAATAAAAAGTCACAATGTAGAATTAGTTCAAACATAGAATTAGTTTTTATAGACATATGCTCTTGGAGCTTATAAATTCCCTGATAATACAGAACTTGCTCTAATTATTTCTGTTGATTTAGATGGGAAAACCTCTCAGATTCTCTTTGAACAATACAATATAGAGATCACTAAGTTATTTAGATGTTTTCAGCTTTTGACTGCTCTGGCTTACCCACAGCTAAAATATTTCTACATTTGGCCTTGGAGAGCGTGAAGACTTCTAAGATAGTGAGCCTGAGCTGTTGACATTTCTTTTATTCTTTTTTTGTGCCTTCAGGGTACTCTTATTTCCCATTTAAGAATTTTTCTTTGGAGGCCAAAAAGAAAGAACTGATATTTTTCATAATAAAACTAAAAAATTTATAAATTTAAGATTTTAACCATAAATTCAACTTAATCTGAATTTCACTTATCACAATCTAGCAACATGATTTTGATGTTGCTCCTTTTGGCAGCTTTAGAGTACATTTTTAAGGTAAGAAAACCAAAACTGAAAACTAACTGGGAGTACTGGGTTTTGGAGGGTCTTGACACTACAAAGTTATTGTAAGAGGAGTCTGTGCTTCAGTCTGTGAGCTCCCCCTGCCTCTATGGAAGCAGTTCCAGGGCAGTATAAAGAAACGCACAATTTTCAGCTGCCTTGCCTCTGTACACGGCATCGCAGTGGGGGATGGATGTATGTGCCACCTCTGCTCCCCCCAGAACCCTCAAACCTCATTTTGCTGCAGCATTGGGTCTGGACAGGGAATTTATGAAAAAGTTTGGACTACAGAAAACTGATGAAGCCCAACCTGCCTGTCAGCACTGGATGGGGGAGTTTCATGGAAGGTCAAGAATACCAAGGAGAGAGCTAAAGTGTGACAAGAGACCCCTCAGAGATGCTGCACTGTAGGGAATAGGAAATTAGCAGATAAAAGATGATTGCAGATGAATGCATACACAAGAAGCTGTTGTTTATTTTCCTATATAAAAGGTCTCCCATAATATTTAGTTCTGTGGGCAGTCGCACATGACAGTGCTTTATTACCAATTTGTTTTTCAGCTAAACACTGTAAAGGACTGCAAGTCTCACCAGATAAAACTGCTCTATAATACTTCTCTCAGGCTGTTCTTTAACACACCTGTGCTGGCTGATGTAATCTTCAAAATACAAGGTACTGTACATCTGCTCCCTCGGCCTCCAGCCTTTATCCGTTTTCCCTTCTTCAGGAATGTGGGATATAGAGGTGGCCATGTTCTATGGCATCAAAACTAGGAAAATATGAGTGCTTTGCTGCCACTGTGGAAAACAGGAAAGGCTTGTCCCTGTGGATGCTATGTAGCAGTGTCCACTCCCAGCATGGTTTGTCTGAGCTGCGCCTATAGGAATTGCCTCTCCCTGTCATAGCCCACTGTGTCTCCCTGATTGATACTATTTTTTATTCTATTTTATTCTATTTTGGTTTACTCCATTTTATTTTGCATTCTTTCATTTTGTTTTACTTTGTTTTATTACATTGTATTGTATTGTATTTTAATCTCACTCCTTTTCCCAGCTGCACAAGCAGTAGTGCATACTTAAGGCATCTGCCCAACATCATACCTTGGAGAGGCATGGGCTTCACCTCTGTGCTTATTGGCCTCAGTGAAAAGATGAAAGATGGTGGTTATTGACTCCTGGCTAACATCATTTTGTCCCTCTCAGGCAGGTGCTGGCTGTGGAAGCACCCATCTTGTTCCCCAGAAGCTGACAGGGACTGTCTTCCCTGTCCTTGCCACCAGGGTTTGGCGACCTGCAGATCTGGTGCCACTGACACCTGCCACATTTTACTGCCTCATGTGCTGCAGTGTCAGGATTCAGTTTTTTGTTCAGAAATTAAATGTGTTCATCCTTGCAATAAAAGATGCAGTGGGAGAAACGTGTTGCATGCTTTTGTAAGAATAAGAATGAGATGGTTTTTAAAAGCTAAATTTGTCCATACTCAGCCTTCATGTTGAAAAGGCCTTCTAGAATTAGATAGTTGTTTAATTCTTTTCAGAGGGACAAACATGAAGCATTAACTCCTCAAACATAAGCTCAGAAGGACAAGCAGACTCTTTCTACATGTTCTGTTTAATACACAGAAAAAAATTCCACAAAAATACCTTTGGAAAGGATAGGATTTGAGTTTGATGACATGTACGATTTACCTCAGTGTCCCACTGCTGAGAGAATCTTTGTTGGAATCTGATGAAATCAGAACACTATATATTCTACAGAAATAAAACCCAAATCTCTGAATGGGTTGACAAGTATTTTAAAAAAAACATGCTTATCCACTAATAAAACATGAACTGTTTTTCCTAATAATTTATACATCTTTCAAACCTTTTTCTCTAATTCATCAGTCAGAATAACTGTATCAAAAATAACTACTAAGAGAAATTGAAGGCCCTAATCTTAACCAGACAAACAAATTTTTAAGTTTTTGAGCAATTCCTTGGATGCTTAGCATTGCTTTGAGCTTTCTAGCTTATAGAAGTACAAGAGCCATGAAAAAGGAGCCCATTTACCCATCTCTGTGTAAAGATACAGAACGTGACTGAACTTCTTAATTAGTAGATAAATGTCCATTCACAAGTACATACAGGATATATGGCATGCAGCTTAGACATTTTGAAAGTAGAAGTACAGGGGGTAGGAATAGATCAAAAGACAAAAAATGCCAGAAGGCTTCAAAGAATTACTCAGGTGCCAATATTGTAATTAAAACAGTAACTTCCTTGTGAGTATATACAGTATATTTATCTTGTATGTCAGTTGATCTGTTTACTATAATTTTGATTAAAATATTTACATGCAACTCTAAATGCTCATTTTGGGTTTGGTTGCTGTCCTGACTGGAATTTGCTTGGCATTTCCTTGCACACAGAACTGGACTGCTTAGTCCAGCTGGATGCTGCAGCCTGAAAGGCCTCTACCCTGAGCTGTTGGCCTCTCCAGGTCTTCCAAATGCTAGAGTAAAGCAAAGGATTCACTTGTATATAATAGAAAATTAATACATATCTGGAAGAAATCATCAGTGTTTTTTTCATAAGACAACCATTCAGGAAATTCACTTAGGCACAATATTTCATCTAGTTAAATTTATGTTTAGTTACTGAGCTTAATAGAATTTCATCTGGAAAAATTTGCCTTTCTCTGCTTTGTGTGGTTGTTCTGTTCCAAATATTAATTACCAGTAGGGTTATTGGTGAATGTAAATGACTCTTCATAGAATCATTCAGATTGGAAAAGACGCCTAAGATCATCAAGTCCAATCATTAACCATTTGCATAACAATTCATAGCACTGAATATTTATGCAGTGGGCTGGAGGTTCAGTTAGTGTGAACAGATTGATTCTGTCTATTCTCTGTTGGTTTAGTCTATTTCATTTTGGTTTAATTAATTCTTTGTTTCTTGATTTTGCTTTATTTTACTATTCATTATTCATCTTAACTGGTATGCAGTGACTGTGTTAGTTATTGTCAACACTTAAACCATTGTCAAAACGTAAACCACGTTCAGTGGAGTAAACACCTCTTAAGAAGAAATGAGCTTTAAAATGAAGATCTTTCTGTGTTATATCAAGTCATTGTATATTTATTTTTATCTTGCATCCTGCAGATGCAACTGTACCAGCCCACAGGGCAGTTCTGGTAGCCCGTTGTGAGGTTATGGCAGCTATGTTTAATGGTAATTATCTAGAAGCAAATAGCATTCTGGTTCCGGTGTACGGGGTTTCCAAAGACACTTTCCTGTCCTTCCTAGAGTACCTTTACACTGACTCCTGCTGCCCAGGTAAGGAATCTGTAAAATACAATTCTATATCTGTGACTCATTTTTCCACAGCAGCCCACTGATAGGGTGTAATGTAGCAGCATCTATTTAATTGAAAAATACTAATATTTGAATGTGCAGTGTCTCGAGAAAGAGGATTTTTTTTTTTGTATTGTGCAACAAAAAAAGAAATTTGTCTTATACAAGTAAAATAGAAGCAATATTTCTAATAAAATTACGTATTTGCTTTGTGCTCATAAAGAAGACAAGACTCAAAGAAGTTGCAATTTAATTTCTGATCCATTATAATATTTGGAATTTTCTTTTTACATTACAGTAATACTGCTTTCTAATCTGGATTCTGTGTTTCGTTCAAAAGTTGTCATTTCTTTAACACCCATACCGCTGAATTTATTATAAAAAAGGTTAAAATGCAGGAATACCTTATTTATACACATGGTTACCTTATGTGTGTGTAAACCCAGAAAAAATATGTCAACAGGAGTGTTTGGCAAGAAAAATTGAGCTAAAATATTCTTTAAATTAAAATATAAAATATTCTTTATGTATCCACATTTTTTTATGAGAAGAAAATCTGCATACTAAATCTAAAACATGATTTAAGCACAGCTAATTTTTCCTTGATATAATGAATAAATGATGTCATATGTATTTTTGCTTTTGTTTTCTTTTGAAATAATTATTCTACCTTATCGTTAGATATTCCATGTTTCTTTTTTCACTCCACTTAACTTTTCCTTGTTTATCAGTTTAAAAATGCAACCACCATGCTATGTTTTAGGAAAAAAGGTGACCCTTTTTTTTGTCTTTGGACTTTTTGGCTGTATTATATCATAAAAGTGCTTTTCTGAAAGAGAACCTAGCTAAATCCACTTATTAATTATCACTTACTCTAAATAGATCAGCAGCACTTGACTCATTATCTTCAAGAAGATCTTCAATATTGACAGCAATTCTTTACACCCACCTACCAAAAAGTTCTAAACAAGTTTTTCTTCTAATTCGAATAGCTTTTCTGGAAAAATAAGATGATACAGCAAACAAAAATTTATAATAATGAAAAGGTGATCACAGCAGTCTGATTTTGTGTTTGTTCTTAGGTATTTAAAAGACAACTTGGTGAAAAGTAGCTTTGATCATCTTGTCAAGAAAGTAAAATACATGTAACTTGTGTCTTCTTGTTTTTCAGCCAGTATTCTCCAAGCAATGTCTCTACTGATCTGTGCAGAGATGTACCAAGTAATGAGACTCCGGCATATTTGTGAACTTTACATCATCACGCAGCTTCAGAGCATGCCTAGCAGGGAACTGGCTTCCACAAGCCTCAGTATTGTTAGCTTGCTCAAAAAAGCTAAGGTACTTATTCTATATACCAAATGAGAACATACATGTTGACTTTAATAAGTTGTTTGCTTTTCAAGATTTTAAAAATCTTTACAGAATTCCTGTTCCCAAGGAAACATGTTGGTATAAAACGTGTTTATTAGGGATAACTAGTGACATAAGGCTGACCAGCAGAAATCCTTCAGCTTTAATTGCCGAATGTGCAGTCACAGAATCAGAGCATTGCCTCTACCATTGTACCGCAGGAAGCCTGCTCCAGAGTTTGCCAACCTTTGCCACAAAGAAATTTTTACTACTATTCAACCTAAATCTCCTTGGCACAACCTGAGGCCATTTCCTCTTGTCCTGTCACTTTTTATCTGGGAGCAGAGACCAACCCCCACCTGCCCACAATCTCCTTTCAGGGAGCTGTAGAGAATGATAAGGTCCCCCAGACCCTCTTTTTTTTTTTTTTTTTTTTTTTTTCCAGGATAAAAAGCCCCACCTCCTTCAGCTGCTCCCCATAAGATCTGGGCTCCAGACCCTCTAGTCATGGATAGACTGCAGTAATTCAGCTTAACTACAGCTTCCTCCAGAAAAGATATGTTTTAGGCAAGTAAAGATGTATTTGTTCCACTTTTAGTCAAAAAAGAAAATTATGTGGTATGCAGGTGATAAGTTCCAGCTGGACAAAATATAGACAGGAATGCATAAAAGCATGCAGAGGAAACATTAGAGGCTGAAAAAAAGAGAGACAATAACAACATGGTTGGAAAACAGAAGAGTAAAACAAAAACTAGATTGCAGGATATTGGCTTAATCAAATAGGATTTTCTGCAGAAAGAGGAGATAATAAAACCAACATGCCACATTCCTTCCCTCCATTTCTGTGAAGCTCTTTCTCTGTGTACATGACAAAATTTCCAAGATTCATGATTCCTCAGGGTTTTTTTCTACCTCTGGGAGAGGGTCTTTCATAATTTTTTCTTTGGTGTCCACCTGTTTACATATTACCATTAAATGACTTTTCCTGTATTATCTTCCACAGTCAAAACTTTATTTAATAAATAGCTTAACAATGGAAACCTGAAATATTTTGACATGTAAGATGTGGTTATATTTTAGACATGATAGCGTTAAGTGGTTTTTTTTGTCTTTTCTTTCTTCCCACAGTTTCACAATTCTGATTGCCTTTCAACTTGGCTTCTTCATTTTATTGCCACTAACTACCTCATATTCAGTCAAAAGCCCGAATTTCAAGAATTATCAGGTATTTTTCTATTAATTTTGAAGAGAAAAATGGTTTTCTGTTTTGCTGAGGTGAAAAGTGATGGTCTGGACAATACCTTTTTTGCATGAGAAAATAATTAGTGTTTCTTTAGGCTATTCCATCAGAATGTTTTACCACCCTCCTGTGGAATCAGCACACAACATGACATAGCCAGAACTGTATCACCATTCTTTTGGTTCCTATTGGGATGGACAGGTTGCCACCCATAACTAAATTTGCTGGAATGAGTTTGGTCATTGTATGCCAACCCCTTAATTTTATCTTGATAATTTAAATCAAGGTAATGGGTAATTTTTGATACTTCTTAAAGTGCTAGGGTTTTCCTTGAAGAAAACAGTATTCTTACAGTACACTCCAGCAGATATCATAAAATGAAAAAACTATGGTTCATTCAAGTAAATAAATCCAACCTCTTCCAGGGTCATGATATTTATTTTTTCCAAGCATTTGTATTTGCTTCTGGTGGCATAACTAGGAAAGTTTTGTTCATTGCCTGTGTGATTTTCCTTCACCCTGATGAGGGGTGCATCTCTTTGACTTGGATACGCCTCTTTGACCCATGACACCTCATCACCTTGAGGTTCAGGACAGCAACACAGCAACAGGCAGTGGCTCTCCAATGGCTTTCCAAGACCTGAGACCTTCACAGAATCACAGAATCAGCTGAGTTGGAAGAACACACAAGGAATTGCTGAGTGCAACTCCTGGCCCTACACAGCACCATGCCCAAGAGTCGCACCATGAGAGTATTGTCCAAAATTTTCATGAACTCTGTCAGGCTGGTGCTGAGACCACTGCCCTGGGGAGATTGTTCCAGTGCCCAAACATACACTGGGGGAAGAACCTTTTTCTAATGCAGCCTAAACCTCCCCAACACAAGTTCAGTCCTTACCTGTTTATCCTGTCACTGGTCACACCAAGAAAAGATCAGTGTCTGCCCCTCCTTTTCCCCTCTGTGCCTCTTCTTCCCCTCAAAAGGAAGTTGCAGACCCCTCTGAGGTCTCCCTTAGTCTCCTCCAGGCTGAGCAGATCAAGTGCCCTCAAACACTCCTCACACGGCTTCCACTCAAGGCCCTTTACTGTCTTCCTTAGGACACTTTCTAATAGTTTAATATCATTCTTATGATGTAGTGCCCAAATCTGCCCCGGGACTTAAGGCAGGGCCATCCCAGTGCAGAGCAGGACAATCCCATTCCTTGCCTGGTTGGTAATGCTGGGCCTGGTGCCCCCACAACAGGGATGTCCCTCCTGGCTGCCAGGACACTGCTGACTCATGTTCAATTTGCCCTTGACCAGGACCCCCAGATCCCTTTCCAGGGCACTGCTCTCCATCATCTCATTCATCAGTCTGTCAATACATCCAGGGTTTCCCCATCCCAGGTGCAGAGTCCAGCATTTTCCCTTTCTGACTTTATAATGCGTGGAGGCTTCTCTGCAGCGTCTCCCTGCAGGAGGAAGTCAACCACTTGTCCCGGATTTGTAGCATCTGCAATCTTGCTCAGTGTCCTTTTCAGTCCTCCATCCAGGTAATTTCTGAAGATGCTGAAGAGCACAGGGCCAAGGGTGGAGGCCTTTGGAACCCCGCTAGTGACAGGTCACCAATCTGATGTCACCCCAGTCACTGTAGCTCTGTGCCTGACCTGTGAGACAGTTGCTCACCCTTCACATGATGTGTTTATCCACCTGTGGGCTGGACATTTTGTTCACAAGGATCCTGTGAAAAACAGTGTCAAAAGCTTTACTGACATCCAAAACCATTAGTTCGACTGGCTTCCCTTGATCAACTAGGTGGGTTACCTTGCCATAGAGGAAATCAGATTTGATGAGCAGGATATTCTCCTGAAGAATGAAGCCCTCCCTTGTGTCCAGCTGAGTGCAGTTTGCCTGCCCTCAGGCTCCCCAGGCTGTGGGCCTCTCTGCTGTGCCTTGGTCTCAAGGAATGAGGAAAAATGGCTGCAAGCTGACTCTGGAAGGTCTGGGCTTAGGGGGTTAAAAATGCGTCTTTCTGCAAAAGCAAAAGGGATTAATCTGAATAATACAGGTAAAAGACTCTTCTGTAACTTTGTCAGTGATAAAAACCACATGCAACCAGAGATTAACGTCTTCCTGAATTCTTAGCTGCACTCCTCCTTGCTTTCTCTACTGATCTTGAGACAAACTACTGGCACAGGAATTGATCTATTTTGCTTTGTATTTCTGCAGCATAGAAAAATCATTGCATACCACATATGGCTATGCTCTAGGGATAAATTATGCTCATCTTTAAGAATATCTCTCTGCTCTCCTTAGAGTATTGTATTCATTTTTTCAAAACAACTGGTTTGTTACTAACTTAATAACAAGGAAATGTTGTGTGGTAACTCTTACATCTGTGCCCTAGCAAAACTCAATGCAAAACAGGCAGCATTCATCTTTACTATTGTAGGTGTATTTATATCTTTAATGTTTTAAAATCTATTTTAGAGACATTTTAAGCCTGTGCACATGTGCTCTATATATTACATTTAATCTATTTCTTACATTTAATACATTTAATTTATTTCTTTTTCTAGTGGAAGAGCGCAATTTTGTAGAGATGCACCGATGGCCTTCAAACTTGTACCTGAAGCAGCTTGCTGATTACAGGAACTATATCCACTCTCAGAAATGCCACTGCACAGTAATGTAAAGAGACTGAATACATACAAAGTGCATTTGAACTGCAAAATTTCAGATTGGGGATTATATAGAATATAAAAACCATGTCAAGAGTGAAACCTGATGCTGACCTCCTCTGGAAATTACAGACATTCTTTGTTTTGCTAGCAAATTTATCTGATTTTTATCTTGAAGCATTGAGAATGTATGTTGAAGATTTCTTTTAAGCAGAAGGACTTCATATTCACGGGTGTTATATGTATTACAGGACACTGCCATCATGACTGGCATCTGTTCTCCCTTCTAATTTCCTTTTTGTTTATTTTATTGTTTTTCATGGTTATTTTTGGCTGCTAAACTGCATCTGTTGAGAACAGACTGGTTTTGTAAATCTGTGCGTAATAGAAGCATAGGAGTACAGTACCAGTGCAGCGGGAAGCTGAGAAGCCAGGTCATAAGTTCTTCATATACTTCAGGATGCAAAGATTTTCTGCAGCATTTGTTAGTTCACAATATAAAGGGTAGGCTTAAGAAACATTGCAGTTATTGTTAATTTATTACTTCAGAGAAAGCCTGTAGCTCTGTTACAACTCTATGAATAGATATTTTCATTCCAGAGGAATGCATCACTACATTCTTTAGTGCCTCCCAAATATCTAAAGAATGACATCATTTTTCCTGCCAATAAGTAGGAGAAAAAAGCCTGTTTTAACAATTTCCAGAACACCTTTGTTGGTGTGGTCATATTGTATTTTTCCCCATGAGGAATAAAGAGAGGGAAATAGAGCATGTCTCATGGACAGGGGAGAAAGGCAGAGCAGTCAACAGCCTTTCATGGGGTTTGAGGAAAAAAACTCACTAGCAGAAGTGACTTTTTTGGGAAAAGTGTGTCATGTAATCATAGGTCTCCACAATACCTGGCAACAAAAATCTTAGATGTGCTGGTCATGGAAGACATGACCCTCACAGATTTGCTAGTGCTGCCTGGGATATTGACTTTCGTGGTGGAGCTTTGATCTCAAACCTCCCCAGCGGCGACTCAGTTCAATCTTAGTTACCATCATGTTCTCATAAGTTACACCACATGAGATGAACCTAGCTGTGGATCCTTTCTGAGATACAAGAGTAAATCCCAGAATATTATGACTGGCATGATCCGTGCAGATGCTATTTAGCATTTTATTGACCAAAATTTGTCATGCTGCTGACTTATGTGTACACAGTATGTGCTAATGCTAAAATGAACCCAGCCTTTACCTGAGCATAGGTGCTCTTCTAGAAGCAAAATCTAATGAAGGAACAAAATTCCTCATGATCACTCTTGTACTTCCAATTCTGCTTTTTCATCTGCCTTTGTAATTTGTTACGTAGCCTGAGACTGTGGCATTTCTGCCACATCAAATGTACCTGGAAACTGCACTTGTGAGAAGAAGATAGAAAGACAAATTGATGGAGATGATTTAGATTTTTTTTTTTAAAATAAGGTATAAAAATTGTTATATTTGTCAATATAGTTTTATAGGTAAATTGTTCTTTTCAAATTCCATTCTAGAGTCATAGAGATTTTTTTTATTTTTCTGGTGATACATTGCAGAGCTTGAGAGGATGTTTCCTTCCCTATTTTTGTATACACACACACACACACACACACAAAAAAGAGTTTATGACTCACCTGGCTGCTGGAGACTCAAAATTTGAAGGTTAGTTTTATGCAAGAATGATTGATTTTTAAAAAAAATATTTGCATCTGCAGATCCTGAAGTTCTTTGAAAGATGAATAGGCTTACCTATGTCTTGCATATAGGGAGTCTAAAATATAGATCATTACATTGCTTTTTCAAGATCATGAAAGAAAACTGAAATTATTAAACAAAAAAAACATTGTAGGAAAGTAATAGTGATGGAACTTACATGTGGAAAGAGTAGTTTTTATCACTATATAGTTATCAAAAATTTAAGCAAAAATTAAATTACTGGATAGATATGAATAAAACTAAGCTTTTTGAAGCTTGAAGTAATAGAAAAATTTGTGCATACAGCTAAACTACAGCTTGTCTAGACATTTTATAGCATCCTTGGATGTTTCTAACAGAAGCCAGCTCAATTACCAAAAGTGGGGATTAAATACTTCACACTGACATCCTGTGCAAAAGTGACACAAAAGTTCTGTGAATGTCAGTCTAAGCTTCCTGTAGTCCTGCATTTTCAATATTTTAGAAGCTTTCCCAGTTTCTTTACTAGGAGTTAGTCTGTTGCCAATGATTTGTGTATATACAACACATAAATAAGTACTGGTTTTAATTTTCTTTAACTGTTTTATAGATATTTAAAAATAGGCTTAATGGAAATAAAAATGGTTTATATCAAAACCAGAGAAATACTTTAGTAGTATGCATTTGAGACAGTGACAGGCACAGGTTTTATACAGAGAAGTCAGGCAGTATAGAGATGTTAATTATTTATTCAGAGATTAATGCTTACTACTATTCAGACAATAAACTACATTTCCATTTTACTGGGTATCCCCATAATGCTGCCTCTATCAGGTGCAGATGTGCTGTACTTGCAGACATAGATGATCTGATAAATTTTAATTTTAGAAAGAAATCTTGCTATAAATTCTTATTTTCATTCTCTAAGATGATTTTATGTAGAAATGTATGCATCTTAAAATTATTTTTAAACCTGGTACTTTTAGCATTTAGAAACATGTCTGAAAGTAGATAATGATGTTTTGTGAGTTGCTATTCTTAGCTGGTTTTAGTGGAGGCTGTGATGCATCCAGCACAGATAGTCAGGAGTTAGGTGTTTATAACTGTGTATGGCATAAAGTAAGAACTGCTATATAAACCCCCCGCCTGATACTGTGGTAGAAAGTAAAAATCAGGAACCAATTTGAAAAATAAAAACTTATTTAAGGATGTGGTTTTGAAAAAAAAAAAATCTTTCAGGAATGCTTCCACTGGTTCCAACACCTCCCAAACTCCCCTAGCACTGGCAGCATTGGGATCAAAGAAAGAGGTCAGTGGTGAATTTGTATGCCCCTAGGCAGAACCTATAGCATTTGAAATTATATCTTTAGCCTTAAGTTTAAGTAGAGATGCAGCTCCTGAGTCCTTCACTAGAGCTAACTCTCAAAATTAACTTTTAGAAAATATTTTTTTGAATAATGGCTTACACCCCCAATTCTTGTTGTCCTATATATGTGTGTTCTTGTCCCAAACTAGCACTAAGCTTTCTACAGACTAAAAAAAAAAAAGCTGTCTGCACTAGTAAGGTATTCCACATAATGGGCAGAAAAGTTTTGTTATTGTCTTTAGGCCACGGTATGTTTGATTTGAAAAAAAACCGCAGGAAATAGAAAATGAAAAGTTAGAAAATTTAGAAAGTTAGAAAAGAAAAAAGAAAGTTAGAAAAAAATAGAAGTTAGAAAAAATAATAACTATTTTATTAGGCATGTCCTGAAACACTTGTATGTTTTTCTTCTAGTGTACCTTGACTAAACTATGCATTTTGTAGACTGAATATGTAAAATTTTGATATAAAATTAAAAAAAAATCTCTAATCTGTCTCATATGTAATATATGTATAATGCCTATACTTATGGATATCTATTAGCATACTTGAGTGTTACACTGGAGATACTTTTTGTAGCATATTACAGTCATAGAACCATACTGGTTTGGGTAGAGCCATGGCTTGGGTTGCAAGGGACATAAAGATCCTCTTGTCCCAACACTCTTGCCATGGGAAGAGACACCTTCCACTAGACCAGGTTGGTCAGATCCCCAGCCTCACCTTGGACACTCAGCTCCTCAACTGAGCACCCACTGAGCCACAACAGCAGCACTGAGCAATGCTGGAAACTGCAGGCACTGTCCCAAAAGCCAGAGTGTGTTCGGGGAGAATTTGGGAGGAAGGCTTTGCTTTATGAAGCATTGAAGAAAGAGGGAAGAAAAAGGAAGAAGAGATCCCATAGGAGAGGATCACCAGTGTTGGATCCAGTATTGATCTAGCCAAAGGTCCAGAGTATTGTGAGTTCCCCACCCAGGCCCTCTGGGGGTACCTTTTTATAGGTAAGGACATGTAGCCCCCCTACAGCCCTGTCAGACTTTTCCAGTGGTTCTGAAAACAAGAGGCAACAAGGATGCCATTAAGACTCCTATCCCATCCTCCATGACACTACTGTAAACCTGTGGGAGTCTCCTCATCTTTTTCCTAAAAGCTCGTCTAGTGAAGTTTTTGCCATCTTGTGGCAAATGCAGAACTGCAAGAAATTTCCTGTGGGAAGGGATGGATGGGTGGACAATTAGATTTCATGCAGAGGATTGGCACTAACTTTGCTGTAGATGGTGTCTTGTTTCCAGGGTTGTGGCATGGTAGCCAGGGATGGTTTGTGCCCATCTCCCTGCAGTGGTATTAGGGGAAGCTCTGCTGCTGGAGAGCAAGTAACACAGTATTTGCTGTCCTTGTAAGGCCACAGTGTCTCTTAGAAAACACTGCAAAAAGTGGTGTCAGTACGAAGACACAGATAGCAGCCAATCAAGGTCTGGTCCAGAAGTCTCAGGCTGAAGACAGGGAAGTCAAACACCTAAGGCAGCAACACTTCACTCAAGTACAGAGGGTGGTTTGGGGTAGAAGGGTGAATTCTGGTAAAGTTTTATTTTTAAAAGGTTTGCAGTTATTCCTCCTCTCCAGGTCTGTACTTCTGACTTACCAGCAAAGTGATGTACTCACAGAATGTTTTTACTGCATATATTTTGTATTTAGTGTTATTATTAAGAAAATGGCTATTTTGAAATATGTATCTCATTAAATTTTGAAGCCATTCTTAGCCTGTATATATGGCTTTCACATTTGGAAAGGAAGGGGAGGTTTATGTCAAGTGGTGGGGAAAAATCCCACAAATCTTCAGTACTGATATCCATCCCTTTTCACAGTTCTGCTCTCCTCCCAGCCTCTCCTTCAAGGACAACTGAAAACAATGAATGAGCCCTAAAAGAATATCACTCTATCAATCTTCATCTTGTGCAGGCTGCTGGCCAAGTTCTTTGTGTGTCAGGGAGGCAGACTTGGTCAGAGGAAAGCCAGCCCTGATTCTGCCTTTTGTGGCTGTCAGGGTGAAGACTGTGTTTTAAGGTTTTTAACCCAAAAGATTTTCCACGTTACCTGGAGATTCACCAGGGAACTCCAAGCTGAAGACATTAAATTTTCACTATTCTTTGCTCAAAAACAGAAAGATCTGGGGACTGGCTATAGGCTCTAAATGCACAGTCAACAACTACCTACGTTCTTTTATATGATCAGCCAGGCTCAGTTAGTAAGAGAAATCAGCTGCACCACCCTGGGCCAGGACAGGTCCATCCTTTTAGAACGCCAAGGACTCTTCTTCATATACAAACATGGAGGCCAAAGAACCAGCCAACCTCAAGTGCGTGGCTCTCCCCTGGAGAGCTTCTCCCTAGGAGTGACACTTATGTCATGAAGAGAAAAAGTGTCACTCCCAGAGGCCTTTGAGTTGAACATGTTAATTTGTTACACCCCATTGGTTTCCCTGCCTAACATTCCACCCTGATACATGTATCCAAGTTTCCCCCGCCCCTCTCCTTCCCTATAAATACCCCGGATTTTCCCCAGTTGAGGGAGCTGCTGTCACTGGCTCCCTTCACTGAGGGCTCTGCTATAATAAAGGCTATTTCTCAGAGGAATGCCATACAGCTCTCTAGTCTCTCTCTCCGCATCGCCTGCATGCTGCCGCTGAGCTGAAATCATTTGCTGGGCAGAAGACGTGCCCATGCCCCTGGGCAGTCCTTTTCAGAACAGCTTCTTCAGGGTAGTTGCAGCCCCCCTGTCATCAACCCCGCCGCGGCATACAAAGACTTTCTAAAGACCGGGGCATCTCTTTATTCATTAACCTGATGAGTTCTGCTCTTTCCTTCACCAAAATCTTCTCGCCTGCAGCAGGTGGGGACCACCCCATGCACAGTTGCAGCTTCACAAACACTGCAAGCTGGGATGCCCAAATCTGTTTTGCACCAGGGCTTATCCCAGCTGTGAGCAGGCATAGGACAGAGGAGTAGTGACAGGCTTCTGGGAAAGCCAGCAGGGTGCCAACCCTCCATCACATTCCTCTGCCAAGGACACTGTGCCCTGCCCCACTCCCAGCAGTTTCCAGCAGCCTTCTGGTCTTCAGGGATGCTCCTACTTTGTTCCCCAGCTATAAACTTGCAGAGTTAGATCCAAGCTACACCAAGCCTTCTGAGCTCATACAATCATTTTTAACAGGTCTATAAAGCAGCTTTCCAGCAACTATCATTTACTGAATTGGTGTCTTTGTAATTGTAAAATTCAGAAGGTCTTTTTCTACTTAAGGCTGTTGCAATTTTTTTTTTTTCCCCCTGTTTGGAGTAGAGTGGTTTTTATTTCTCATTTGGTTTTTTAGGGATGTGGACAGAAATGACAGCCAGAAACACACAGGTCTAATAACTGTGTGTAAGTATTACACATCCTAAAGGCAGTCTAGAGAAAGAGTGAAATGAGCCCTCTGTCTCAGCCCACACTCTCGACAGCAGCACTCTTGCATGCTCTGTCCACCAGCAGCAGTCACCAGGCCAAGGGAAGACACCACAGCAGAATTCACCCCGTGCTCCCCACATCACCATTCCTTGTGCTGCTGCACTGCAGAGCTGTAGGAGCAGCCCCTGTCACAGACAAAAAAGACCCAAGTCTCACGGTTTAAAGAGGTGACATTTTCTTGAACTTCACTTGATGAAGAACAGAAAGGCAATAATGGATCAGATGTTCAATCACAAAACACCCCAAGATGTCTCAGATACAGGGGGCTTAACATCATTGGCATGGAGACAATAGAGGAATTTGTAAAATACTCTCCAAGAGAGAAAGATGCATTCACAGCCCCTTTTAATGTTCCCAAATATTGTCCTCCCTCAGTCAATTTCATATCCTTCCCCAAAAAAGAGCCACACCTCTTCCCTGTCAGCTGAATAAACTAACAGCAGGAAACTTAGGCAAAGGACTGGACTTCAAAGTCTCCTTAGGTCTGTGCAGGAATCAACATCTGAGTCTCTCTAAAAAGACAGGTTGTAACAGATTATTTTGGAAAAAACTACAAAACAGACACAGTTTCCATAGGGACATTTTAATCCAATTTCTCTTTAAAACCCGTTGAAGAGCCTTGCCTCCAACACTTCTCTATGTGTTTTATAGAACACTTGCAAAAGATCTGGATATTCCTTGGCTCATTGATAAAGTGAAGCCATGATCTCCAAGCAGTCCTGGGAGCTGCTTCAGCTGACAGCTTAGAGCAGCCCATATGCATTCCTCTGTAACCTCCAAAACAAGGTGAT